CCTGGGCTGTTCTGAGAGCCAGTCCCAGCTTGGCCACATACCTAATGCTCGTCTCAGGGCATTTGAATTTGCTTGTCAATAAGCACTGCTCTCAGCAGCTGCGGGCTGGTGAAGAGAGAGTTGTGTAATTACAGTTCAAAACCTAATTTTTAAGCTAATCCAGGAGGGAGTCTTTCCCATTAATACATTCCAGATGCCTCTCCTGCCACCGCTGGCATCTACATGCAAACCATAGAAAAGCTGGCAAACCATAGAGCATATGGCGAACCACGGAGCAAGTGCTAGAGAAGTGAGGAAACTCCAAGGGAGCACGTGTTCGCGCTGGCACAAGGCTCAGAAATGCCAGCACTCCACTGCTTAAGACAGCAGAGAAGTGGGGGAATGTCAAGAAACCCAGTAAAATAATTTGCACATTGCACAGAACAATCTGCCCAGGTATGTGGGGCATCCATCCCTCAGTCCACTCCTCCCGTCAGCGAAGACATCTCCCTACGTCATTCTAGCTCTCCCGTTTCCCATCTTTAACCCACAGTAGCAGGTTCAGGAAGACTATGAGTCCACAACAGATGTGTGCAGGGTCAAACGGCAGACCAGAGAGCCCATCACCTGGCAACTTTGGGGGCCCTTACAAAAAGATGGACTTGAACCAGGAGTACCTGCAGGCTACACAGCAGATAAAAGGCTCTTCGGTGCCTTTGGTTCCTGCACCCAGCTGTCTCCAAGAACAGCCTCCCCACCCCTTGCCAGACCCAGAGGCAGGAGAGCAGTGATACAGGAACTGCGGACAGCGGGCAAGAACCTGCCCACCATGTTTGATGTTCCCCATATGGCATGACAGTCCCCATATGAAATGAGAGACTATCAGACAGACAAAATTAACCATCAGCCCCCAAACACCACTGCCATCTAGCACCATGGCACTGTTCACAATGGGGAGAGCTATTAACATCTGAACACAGAGAAACGTCCTCGACATTGTCCCAGGCAACTCCTCCCCAGGGCCTTTCTTTCCAAACTAGAAAAGAAGCTTCATCGGTTACTGTGCAACTGCTTCAGGTCCTGTTCTGGTTGAGTGGAGAGCAAAGAGCCCACAAGCATATGTCCTAGCTCCAGGAGACTGCGTATTCTGGGGTCCCAGCCACCACCCATGGGTGAGGCTGCACTGGAGCTCACCAGCAACAGACAGGCACAGAAAGGTCTATTTCAGAGGTCCTAACGTAGCACAAACCACACCTCCACAGTACTAGAACAAGAGTGCATTTCAACAGCAGCTGCATTATTAATCTGCAACAGATTTAAAAGCTCTTTAAGATGGGAGCCGATCCCTGCCAGGAATATAAATGACATTGTCCCACAGTGTACATTTACATAGCTAATATCACTCCACTCCTGCAGGTAAACGGCTCTGTTCTCTCCTCAAACACTTTTATTTAGTCCCATGCTGGGGCCAGATTAGAAAAAACACAGTATTAATTTTGCCTCCTGCAGACTAAATAGCATCTTTTCTTTTCCCCAGCAAATACAATGAACAACTGCTAATTCCCTCTTGTGAAAACTGAAAAGGAAGGGCAGTGCGAAAGCTGTTCTCAGAGCTATATTTAGAGGAGCTGGGATCTGACAGCTAAATAAGGTCTTGTTTCTTTGTTTAATTTTTCCTCTGAATCTGCATATCTGCAGTCAGAGCTTTCCTGCTGCTGCAAATGCCATCCCCAACACCATTATATCACAGCCGTGGACAAAGTTGCATCTGCTTCACTCATCCTTAGCCTCACTTTCCTCTTATCTCCGGCCCCATCCGGCGCTTCTGCGACGGGCTTTAAGGAACAGCGGAACCTGTCTGGCTCCCACGACTCAGGACTCAGCTAGAAGACAGCATGCTTTGAAGAGTCTTTCTAACCCCTGACCGACTGGCTTGTGCCAAGCCGGGGACAATGCCATAAATAGCTCAGGGATCCTTCTGGGATTGCCACGTGCTGGTGCATGGGGGGAAACAAACGCTCCATTTGTTTATTTCTCACGGCAAAGAACATTTTTCATCTGCAAATCAGGGACTGAGGAAGTGAGGGCTGCAGCACCCTGAAAGCATCCCCTGGCCCCTCTCCCACGAGGCCAGTGGCATTAGGCACCTAGCTGCTTGGCCAAAGGCACTGGTCAGGGCACCATTTTCAGACATCAGTCCAACAAGCTGTCCATGCCAGGCTTGCCTCCAGATGCTGTCTATACAGCTCTCCACACGCACAGGGCATTCATCTCTTCTTCATCCAGCTCTCAGGACCAGCTGGATGGTAGATATAGCGGTGCAGATCAGAGAGATAGTGGTGCAGACCATGCCCAAGACAGACTCAGCAACCTGCCAGAAGTTCCCTCATAGAGGGAGGCAAGCCTCTTGCCTTAGCGGGGTATTGCAGACACATCAGACTGAGACACCACATACTAAAGGGATGACCTTTCTTCCCTCTTTGCTGACAGGCACAAGTTAATCATCACTGTTATTTTTTACATACCATATCAAAGCAAGAGGGATGAGGTCACCTTAAAATCTGCAGAAAGAGCAAAAGAACAAAAGCAGCAGTTCCAGCCTGGCAGCTCCACTCACTCCCTCCACCTTAAGAAAAGGTAATTCCAGATGTAAAAAATTTAAGTGTTTCAAGAAACTTCCCGAACTGCACTGGAACCTCAGCTGCTCAGCTAATTCTGTATCACCATCTGCATCCGGAAACTTGTCAGCTTGACAAGAGGCATTGATTTTGAGCACATTACAAGATTAATTATGCCATATTCTTTATGTGTATTTCAATTCCTTTGGGCATATACAGTGTTGAGTAAGGGGCTGAGATTCCCACATACCCAGAAGAAAAGCTATATTAAATACACTTACAGTTAAGGCACGTGTTGCCTTACTGCCTTACTTGTTGCTTCACTCCCTGTAGAAGAGACAGGGCACTCGCTGCCCTTATCTTGTTTGAGGCCACAGAAACAGCACTGAAGCTCTCCAGGCAAGGATGCAGGTCCCGAGCACGAGCCTACCCCTGCCCTCTGCCGGGACTCCCCTCTGGGACCCTCTCTGAAGAAAGGTCTCTTTATTATTAGATACCATTAAACCCTTCCTAGCTTGTACACTGGCTCTGCAAACAGATCGGTGCTGCTGCACTTCGCAAGCTGCCAGCTGTGGAAGGGTGTTTTACCACCCAGGGGAAGGCAGAGCAGCACAGGGAACGTGCCTTTTCTGCAGTGTGCGGAAAGGTTTATTTCTGATGGCAAAGGGAACTTGTTCACCCAGTGCCCTGTGAGTGGCTCAGATACAGAGTTCTCGTTTTCTTCTTAGCATCATATGCACCCAAAGCAGTTCCCAGAAGGCGCTAATCTGACTTCTCCCATTTCAGAACGGAGTCATTCACCTGCCTGACTTGGGATAAGGAATAACCTGAGCGCAGGAAATAGATCTTCCCACAGCTATGTCTATCCATGAACAGCAAAGATCCTGATTAGGAGTGACACCTCCACTGAAGAGCAGTCTGTGGCACAGCATCCACAGAACAGATTTATAAAAATTATTATATGAGGAAAGAGAAAGCAACAACACATGAAAAACATTTGATCAAGTGGTGGGAAAATTATTTATAACAAGATCAAAGTTTAATCTCTTCAGATGAAACTGTTGGCCGATTCCTGCCAAGAGGTATGCGAGGATCATCTGTCTCCATTATCTGTGGCTTGGCAAAGGGTTTTCATGCAAATTAATAATGTAACCGCAGAGGAATAGACAAGGACACAACAAGCCAGAGCCGATTTTCCTTAGGCATAGCTAACAACTGAGTAGAGAACAAACCCCTCTCCAGTCAGCCAAGGCCTCTGCCTGTGCACACAGAGTGGATGCTTTCTTTCCCCCAATGGTAAGAAAATAGAAATGTGAAGCCTAAAATAGAAAGGGACACTTACAGTATGAAATTGTGCCACAGAACAGCATAGAAACGAGATGAAATCAAAATTTTCATTTCCAAAGGATAACCAATATTTGAATCATTCTATTTTTACAATTTCTTTTTATGAATGGCCTGAAAATGCTGTTTCTTTGAAGACACTGTGATCTGTATATTCAAACTGTAACCTGATCACATAGCAGGCTCATTTTTTCACCAGAGCTTGTGTTTCTTAGAGCATCACTGCCACAATACTCCACTGCCAGCCTATTGTTGAGTAGCTTTGAGCTAGCACAATGCAATGAGAGTTAACAGGGTCACACAACAGGGAGTGAGTGCCACAAAGAAAACTGAGCCATGGGTTTTTCTAAACACAGCAAGCTCCTATTCTCTCCATATTACCAATCAAAACCACTTCGGGAATGTTGCAGATAGAAGGGAGGAGATGGAGACCTCTCTATGAATGACCCTCATCACTGAGCACCCAAGAATCTAACATTGGTGCAAAAGGAGACACATTAGGACACTTCCAAGACATTGGTCAGGTAGAGTCCAAAGACTGTGGTCACACATGCTCTAGAAACCACTTCCTTTAAGCAAAGCCACAAAACTCACAGCTGAACACGCTAGTATTTCAAAAACGTGACAAGAGCACAAAACAAAGTGGGAATCTCTTTTCTTGGTGAAATGGAAGTGAGACGTTGTTCTGATCTCACAGTCACTTGTATTAAATAGCAGCTGTCTAGAAAGCTGTGCTCAGTTCTGTAGCCTGCTACTTAGCTGTACACATCCAGGCAGCCCACAGGGTGTTTGTTAGGACTCATGGAAAAAAACAGAAGCTGAAGCTTCTGGGGACTGGGGTTGGAACCTGATCTGCACTGACTGCGCTTGCAGTTGGTTGGGTCTCACAAGCTGCTCACTGCGGTATTGGTTCCAGGTAATTCAAGGTCATATATACTCCCTACCTACCATTCCTCGTCACCCCTCTGAGTCTTGCGCTCTAAGTACAGATCCTGAGACTGCAGGAACAGAAGGGGCAGAGGATAAGTAAGAAGGCAGCGCAGTCTGGGCAGCCCATACCTGCAAGGCCAGTGGAGATATTCACTTCGGCATATTGCTGCTTTGATAATGGGCTGACATCTGAGACACCATTGACAGCTGCCACTCGGATGGTGTAGTTAACACGAGGCAGCAAGTTCACCAGGGTGACAGTCCGGTCCACAAGTCCCGTCTGCTGTGGCACAAAGCCCACACTGCTGCCGCACTGCTCACACCGTCCCTGCAGCGCCTCTGAGCACCGGCTGCACCACAGGCTGTACGTGACATCGCTCCGGCCACCGGAGTCCGCGGGGGCACTCCACTCCAGAACCAGAGTCGACTGCTTGAGGCTGTAGACTAGGTTCCTTGGAGCGGATGGCGGACCTGGAAGCAGAACAGTTAGCATCACTGTATGGGTGCTGGGAACAGCCAAGTGCTGTGTGGGGAAAGCAGGGCAAAGAGATAGACCTTCGGCAGCTAGAACAGCAGACCACAGACACGGATGAGGGAGCTAGAGAGAGCAAGTGCTCCGGCAATGACATGGCATATGGGAACACAAGGAGACACAAACATGCTCTGAGGCGTGCAGCATGGGCTGGGAATACAGAATGAAGGATCCACGCTGAAGGAACATTTTATACATAAAAACAAACAACTTGCATTAAAGCTTGAGAAGTGGCTAGCCTGTCCTGGTACCTGCTCCATACTGCCCCTCACCCTCCCTGCCAGCCACACAGCTCAGCTCCAGCTGAGGTTTGGCTACAAAATAGCTCGAAGCCAAGCCTTCTGCTCAGACACTTCTCAGCCATGCTTGCTCTCAGGCAAATCAGGAGGGTTTCCTATTACTGTGCAGGCAGTTCTGTGGTATCCATCACTACAGTAGCTAGGGTCCAATCCAATTAACTAGAGGCCATTTAATTAAAATCTGTGAACTGCTATATTGACTAAATGACTGTGCCCTAGTTTTACTGGGGAGTATCTGTAAGCCTCATGGCATGTTTATCTCCTCAGATTTCAGCCCTATAATCTCCAACTGTGAGCTCTGCAGAGTAAGGACTGTCTCTCCATCCATTCCTCACTGTGGTACTACCCTCGCGCAGGTAAGACCTCCCAGAGACACGCATGCACAAAAACGGCTCCCGTGGGCTAGCATAATCTGATAGCGCCAGCCTTGTGCTGGGGCTCTGACAGCCTCCCAGGCGCTCTGTTCTGCGCTGCAGGACGCACGCAGGATAGCAGCAGTGTCTGCAGCCCCATTTTCTTGCTCATTTACAAAGAGCTGGCACTTCAGCGAGACATACGTGTGCAGGAGGCAGATGGTGGGTCTGACGGGGACCTGGAGTAGTTCTTCTGGCATGAACAGTATGTGGAGGCTTCTTCATGCGTGAAGCTGTGCTCAGGGCAAGGAGAGCAGAGAGGAAGACGGAGGGAAAGCCTGTAAAATCCAGGAAGGCAAGCTGAAAAGACAGAGAGAGGAAGTTATGGAAAGAACATCACAAGCAGACTGGAGGATATGTTTGATGACTTCACTTCCCTGTTTCCTGGGATATCCTTTGCCTGCCACTATCACCTCCCAAGCTACCTTCTCTAAGCATCTCTGTGATCCTGGCACCAAGAGAGGTGGCCCTCTGGTCTGACCCAGAAGGGACATTTTGATGTTGCAATCTTGCACCAATTTCCAGGCTCTGTGACTTTCCAGGGATGCGGGAGGTGCTGGCGAGAATGGTTAGATGCCAGCTACCAGCTGCAGCAACACAGCAAAGAGGTAGCTGGAGGCAAAGGAAGAACATAGAGGAGGAAGTGGCTGCAGAAAGATGCAGGAAACGGAAGACACATGATTCAGTGTTTATAGAGTCAGGTTAGCAGAGTAGAAATGACATGGGAGCAACAACAAGACTCAGCAACAACCCAAGAAGGAGAGGAATATTGAAAACGGAGACTTCACAAGTCACCAAGCCACAAGGCTGTGTCTCGGGTGGCTGCGGCTTTATCAGTGCAGACGACAGAGCAGAGGCTGTAAGGCAGCATACTGAAGTCATCAAACAGTAGTATAAATTTGTTTTTATAGGACACACACTGGCTTCCTTTATCCTTTGAAAAGTGTCTTTGATATTCGAACAAACAAGTAATTCACACTCTGGTCAAGGATTTGCTTGATCTTTACCACAAGCGGTACACAGCCTAACAGCAATACCACTAGCAGGACCCCCAGGAGCTAGTTCTGCAGAAAAGCCAAATTATTTTACAACAACAAGAAAGGCTGTAAAACTCTAAAAAGCCTTAGCTTTCTTATTGCTTAGTTTGCAATAGCTTCAGTTTGACTCTAAAAGACTTGACAAGAAAACAGCCTGCAAACAAACATGTGCCTGTTATTGCTAGATGCTCCCATAAGGGCTGGGGCAGGCATGCTGCGTGCACCTCCTGCCTTGCCTCCACGGCGGTCTCAAACCAGTGCTTCTTCTGGGGCTGGGCAGCTCCTCTGTTTACCGAGGCGCTGCCCTCAGCAGAGCCAACAGGAGAAGCACTGCGTTTGCCTCAGCTGGATTTCAAGCCCTACGAAAGTACTCATGTTTTGCTTGGCTGCTTCATCTTCTTGATGTGGCGCTGCTGACTGCTATCCCTTCATCAGCTCCCTGAATATTTAAACTTAATCACTTCTAAATTTCCTACATGCGCAGCTCCACTAAAGCAGCTCCTTCCCTTATCGTTTTTAAGGAGCTGGCTGCTGAGCCTGTTCCTTTCGGAGATTATTCCGGTGCACTCCGGTTCATGAATTTTTAGCATGATATAAAATTGGCAGCTACAGCTGTGATCTTAGGACAAAGTACCAGACACATAGCCTCAGTGGTGGATAGGACTCTTGCATGGGATGCTGAAAACGTCAAACATTTAAAGGGACATTATTTCATCTACCACAAGGCCTTTAGAAATTCACAGTGCCCTGTAATTACACACGGAAAGGGAACGCAGCGCTGTCACTGCAGTCCGCGCTCTCCAGTGGCCCCTTTCTCCCCTGGCAGTTGGCACCCAGATGGACAGCTGCTTGGCAGAGCTGAGACCAGCCAAGCATATTGGAGATTTCTGCTTTTCTATATTACAGAAACAGCCTTTCAACAGTTACCTAAAAGCCTTGTTCCTTGCCACACAAGATCTCTGTGCTGTTGTCCCCGAGTCCTAGGTACAAGTGCAGTGACGGGGAGGGAGGAATGTGCCCGACTGCCTTAGAGACAGGTTAGACCCCAGGAACACACTATGTGACTTTAAAGAGCACCAAATACAAGCAAAGCCAGCAAAAAGCAAAAGATTCGGCCTCCTAAAGCCTATTTCAGTCATGCACAAGTAGTAAAGAGAGACTTCTTGTATCTGGGATAGAAACAATGCAAACTTCCAACAGATGTAGACTCCATGTTACATTTCTATAGTAAAATAGAACAGTTAAGAATTGAAGAGAACTGTCAGAGAATTGAAGACTTTAAAAAAAAATGAGGGAACCAAAATTAGCAGATTACTCCTGGGTTCCTCTTGGCTGTGGTTCCTAGTTCAACCGGAGAGGACAAAGCATTTCAGCCCACACTGCAGCTGCTCAGACAGGAAGGGTGTCTCGTCAGTGAGCTCCGGGCAGTTACAGCACGGGAACAGTGACTGAGCCAGGCACCGGGATCCCGCGCTGCCGCTGGAGCCGAGCGGCACTGCCAGGGCACGGGCTGCCTGACCCGTTTTAGATGTTTGTGCTGGGTGAGATGAACCCCATCCCAGAAACTCCCATTGCTCCCACCAGCCACAGCTGGAGCCCAGACACCTTTGCTGGCTGTCAGTGCCTACCTGCAGCTGAGCTGGCTGCATGGCTCCTCTCCCAGCCAGTGCTGGAGCAGGTATTTCCAGGAAGCTACGTATTTCTAAGAAGAATCTACATTTCCTCCTGGCTCATGTAAACTCTAGGCAGCAGCTGTTGCCAGTATGGGACTGGAGCACCTGCAGTTTTATATTCACCTCTCCCATTTTAGAGCCTGCATGCCTCAAGTCCCAGATAGGCTGACCTTTAAAAGCACTAGCTTGACGAACGCTACAGAGAAGTAAGATTAAGACAGTGTTCCGCTATCTATAATAAATGTCATCCCCTACTTAGGGTGCTGGATAAAACACAAAAAAGCAGCAAGTGTTTAAATTACTTCCAGTGCTTCTTTCTCTTTATATTTGAGAAATGAGGAAAACCTAATATTAGATTAATACAATGGGGACGCATTTGGCTTGCTTTTCCTTTAGTTAGGCAGTACTGACCACAACACAATACAGAAATATCACCAGAGGGATGCAGAAGATCCCAAAGCACTTGGTTCACAAACGCACCATCACTTCCGGGGAGAACAGCAGGGGCACCGCATTGCACATCCCGCAACAATGGAAAAGGAAGCCAAATTTCAACACAGAAACCCAGCACAAGACTTTAGCACCTCAAGGTCTCAGCTGAAAGTCACACACAGTGAGCTGAATACTTATTGTGTCCATTTTGGAGAGAAAGAGAATCAACAGGCCTCTAGGTGCGCTGGGGATGACACTTCAACTTTCTTGAAGAATTAAGCGTTTCCTCCGGACTCTGCAGAGAGATGAGCAGAATGCATACAGAGACCTGCAACACGGCACATGGCTGACTTTGCTTTTGGGCCAGGACCTCAGCTGTAGACACTGCACCTCGCACCATGCTCTGCAGCTAGACAGGACACCGCAGGCTGGGGCTCGTGTTGCCACAGAATACACGCTTACCCGAGAAGCTGAAGGAGACTGGGAGATTTGCTACCTGCTAATAAAGCCAGGTCTGGTCTCCTGAGCGCCTTCCTGGCGTACAGCCCTGACATGGGCTGAGGCCTCGTGTGCCTTGGTGCTGCACACTGCTTCCCGCCTCCTGTCTGCTGCAGTTTCCGTTAAAGCTTATCCATCCCCACAGGGAGAAACCTATCTTGTTACAGCATCAGAATCTGAACGTTGGTGCGAGATGCCTGCTTATACCCTTTGTCAGGCAGAACAGCAAAATCAATCTTGTTTACAAACTTGATGGGACCTGAGCAATAAAACCAGAAAACATACTGCCGTCATACCTCAGATTTAAAGGCGAGCCTGACAGTTACATAAATTTGACATCTCATCATAGGAAACTGAACGTTTTCAACTAGCATCTTTCAGGCTGTTCCTCCCTGTTTTCTAATAACTAGATGTAAGTTTACAAAAATGTCTGTCAGAAGATATGTCAGTTAGTAACTGTATGAAATGCCTCTATTTGCATTTCCCAGAAACACAGGCACCACGACGTTGTACAAGGGAGAGACCAGCAAAGCGTCCGGTGCTCGGTTTAGTCCTTAACTGTGTTTCATAACAACTCTGGGACTCTGGTGAAGGAACGTTTGATAGATCATATGCGTATCTCAGTTTCTTTTCTCAGATAAACTCCCACTCTCTTCCATCTAATCCTACAAGTGTTTTTCTTGGTCCCCAGCTGTTTTAGGTATCCCTGTTATTCTGCAGTGCCAATTTTTCCAGTGGGAATGACAGCTCCTAGATCAGTCCATCAATTTGGAGAATGAAATTCTTTTTTGTACGCTTTTCTCCATTCCATTCCTTGTCCTCTGGTACTACTACAACTTACTAAATAATAAAATTCAATTTTACATTCTTCTAGAGCCAAAGAAAAATAGCTGGGCAGGTCAGATCACATTAATTGCCTCTCTCCAGCTCCATCGCACGTGTTCACACATGCTCCATCTGCCTGTTCACCAGACATTTCTTATTCATTTCACTGACAGGGAGAGCACACGTCCCCTTCTTGTAACGACACTGTATGTATGCACAGCCAAACCAGTAGCAGAACAAGCAATGCTGATTTGTGCCGCAGCTTGGCAGATAACCTGGCATGATGAACCCATGGGAAGTTTTTTCTCTTACATACACATCTGCTGCAGTTCTTTGGACAAGAAAGGATGATTCTGTCAAAAGAAGAAAAGAACATCCGCTTTCATGTCCAACCTTTTCCATAGGGAGAGTAGGAGCAATTAAGGAGGCAGAGCTGAAAAATGCATGGTAGCCTAGTCGGACTGTCACGGGATATCTTTAATTTCCCCTCCCCAACAACATCCAGACATCTTCATCTCATAGCACAAAGCATGGCATGAAGCCTGCCAGCTAGATTTTTCCACCAATGTCTCCTAGGCATAACACTTCTGGTCTCTGAGTCACAACTCCAAGGGATGGGTGAAAGCTGCTCCTTCATCAGGAAGGAACTAAATATTTTCTAAGCTGTAGCTTGCTGAGCATACAAGTTTTGTCTTAAAAAAAGGGTAAGATCCCTGGCTGAAATCCTGATTTATTGGCAAAAAGGCATCAGAGTTTGAGCAGCTTTATCTTGTTAATCAATGAACAGTGATTAAAAGTGACTCTCTCCAAGTACATCAAGCAGGACAACCTGACT